ACCCTCAACCACTAGGCGCCCTAGGCGCCCGCCTAGTTTGCCTAAGTGGTTGCACCGGCCCTGGCCCTCGGGCAGAGGGCCGGCTCTCACCCCGGCCTGGGAGAAGCTGCTGTGAAGACACGCAGGAGAGCCCAGCCCGACGGAGCCATCACAACCGGTGGTTTTCAAATGCCACATGTGCCCGCAAAGGCGGGGGCGGAAGCCCCTGTGGAGACCCTCGAAAGGAGGCCCCGGCTCATGCCACAGGGCACCGAACAGGGCAGGTGAACATTCACCCCCCACCCTGCGTTTGGGCCACGTGTGGCAGTGGGCGCTTCTGCGGGCCCCACCGCGCCGCCTGCATCCCGCGGTCCCCTCTGGCCAAATTCACCCCAGGGCAGTTCCCCTGGCACGGCCACCGTGAAAACCAGGGCCAAAGGAGGTGGCTCCCAGTGTGGCAGCCAGCCGGACACGTTTGGCCACGCGGCCGGTCAGTGGCAGAGCCAGGCCTGGGACTCGGGCCTTCCCCTTTCTTTACAGGCCATGGCTCCTGGGGCGAAGGGACGGCGCCCGGGCTAAATGAAATCCGGCAGCAGGAGGAAGATGAGGGCTGTGGGCTCATCGGCCAGGGGACTCTGCCAGAATCATGTCCCACGCTGGGACGTTTGGGGTGGATGCTGGCTCAGAAGGGAGGGGGCAGGCCCCAGCCAGGCCCCTCGCTCTGCGATGCCACAGGCTCCCCCAGGATGCGGGGCTGTTTCCAGACCCCGGCTCTCGCTCGCCAAAGCAGACCCTGGCCTGCCCCCTACTGAGGGGCAGCGTCTCGGCCGCAGGGCACCAGGGCCGCCCAGAGGATTCAGGGGGCCTGGGGCAAAGCAGGGGAGCTGCGGTGCTTGTACTCACCCGGCGACGCTCCGGGACTTTGGCGGCATTTCGGTAGCGGGGGGCCCTTCAGTCGCTCCGCGTCTTCGGCAGCACTGACGGGCCCCCCGCCGACGAAATGCCACTGAAGACCTGGACTGCCGCCGGGCCAGGGCTCGCGGCAAATTGCCCCACTTGGCCCCCCTCTGGGC